GTCTTTGCATGCAAACGTGAAGGGGAATCGTGAATGTTCGTCAACCACGGTTAGTAGGTATCGATTTCGAGAAGTCGTTGGCAAGGGACCCTTGAAATCGATGTAAAACCCTTCAAAGGCTGAGTAGCTTTGATGAGGGCGGTTGTGTCGGGTTTGTAGAACTGAGGCTTAAGCCTGGCACAAGTAGAGCACTCAGCACATACCTTCTTGACGTCATCTACAGAATATGGTAAGTTACGAATGAGGATGAAGTGAGCCGTCCTTGTGACTCCTGCATGACATAACTGCTGATGGAGATCTGACATATTGTTGTGGTTGGTAGCCGAACAGAAGGCTCTCGATAGAGCACCAGCAGTTGAGTTTTCAGTTCCTGACTGATAGACAATGTCGTAGTTGAAGCAGGCTAGTTCGACCCACCATCGTTGGATCTTGTCGTTCTTGATTTTTCCCAGCTTCTTGGAGTGGAACATGAAGGATACAGATCGCTGATCGGTGATGAGAGTAAAGTGTCTGCCAGATGGGAAATGTTTCCATTTCCTTACTGCTTCAACGATAGCACAGGCCTGTTTTGGGACAGAAGAGTGTCTGCACTCACTGTCTGAGAGTGTTCTCGAGAAGAATGCAACTGGTCTACCGGCTTGATTCAGGGAGGCAGGGATGGAAGAGTCGGAAGCGTTGGTTTCTACTACGAATGGAATCGTCTCGTCAATCGAGCTGACTACCTCTTTAAGATTTTCGAAGGCAGAGACTGCTTCCCCTTGTAGAGGGAATGTCTGAGCCTTGACCAAAGGTCTGACCTTGTTGGAAAAGTGTGAGATCCACTGAGGGTAGTATGAAAAGAGTCCTAATATGCGTCGTAGAGCAGGTAAGTCTTTCGGAAGTGGCAATTCCTTCAGAGGACGCAAGCGATCGGCGTCTGGCTTGAGAGTACCATGCGATATGGTGTAGCCCAGCAAATCAATCGACGTTGCTGAGAAGACGGATTTGACTTTATTGAAGGTGAATTTTGACTTCTTTGCTGCCTCAAGAAATCTGGACAGAATTTCATCGTGCTCCTGTTGAGACGAACCGGCGATGGTGATTTTGTCAATGTACGCGAAAGTACCCAGCAGTTCGTTTCTAAGTATGAATTCATCGATGGTGCGTTGGAAACAAGCCACGCCGTTCGTCAGTCCGAATGGAACTGGTACAATTTGCCGTTCGCCTCAAAGGCAGTGAATGGCTTGTCCGTATCCCGTATAGGGATCTGATGGTACGCACTCTTTAGGTTGAGAGTGCTGAATATCTTGTAACGAGATAGGTTAGTCACCAAATCGTCTATCCGAGGTACGGGATATGCATCCAGCTGGGTATACCTGTTCATAGCTGTAGTCGACAACAAGCCGCTTTTTGTGCCGCTCATTAGTAGTGATGAGGACTTGCGTCTTCCACGGTGAAGTGCTGGGATCGATTATTCCTTCCGACAACATCTTATCGACTTCACCTTGGATGAAAGCCCTGTCCGCTTGACTAAATCGTCTTGATTTCGTCGCAACAGGTTTACAGGGGGAGGTCAGATTAGAGAAGAGAAATGGTGGATCGACCAAAGCAGATGTTAGGCTACAAACAACTGTATTATCTCCGATGATGAGGTGCTCTTTAGGCCCATCGAAATCAATAATAACACCACTATGTAGGCTCATGAAATCTTGACCAAGAATAACGTCACTGCATAGGTCGGGAAGAACAGTTAGTCGAGTATCTGGATAGAGTTTCCCCTTGAGGGTAATGTCTACAGTACAATGACCTAGTACTGGCGATGATAGGGAAGACGAGGCCATAGACACGTGACCTGACCCTGGATGACACTTCAGAGACTTCTGCTGGATATAGCGGTTTGATACAAAAGATTTTGAGCTCCCGGTATCAACGAGGACTGTAGCTGTATCGTCATTAACAAGAAAATATATGGTAGATCGAGCGAGACAGCCAGGGGAAGTAGTAGATATTGCAGCCAAAGTAGGAGAGTGTAAGACCGCACAAGTGGAAGATGAAGTAGCAGGTGAGTAACGAGATGATCTGCATACTTTCGTAAATTGGCCTTTCTTGTTGCATTTGTGGCAAGTTGAATCATGCGCAGGACACTGAAGTCAGTTATGCTTTGCTCCACCACAGAAATAACACTTTGGTTGCTGAGTGGCAGCTAAGAGGGGAGAGTCAACGCTGTCGGTTTTCTCAGGTGAAGTAACAGTGGTAGCCTTCATAGGAGCCTGAGACCGAAGATAGGATTCCGAGTTTCTTTGAGCCAGATCGAGCGCGCGAGCTTGGTCGAACACAGTTGCCATATCGAGAGTCTTGTTTTCTAAGAGACGCTGTCTCATCATAGGAGATAGTAGACCGTTGATAAAAGTGTCGCGGATATACTAGTCTCTGTTCGCCTCTGCTGTGGCAGCTTTGAAGTTATAGTCCTTGCTGAGATGAAGAAGTTCCTGCAAATATTCGTCCAATCTCTTGCCCGAGTGTTGCTTCCTGGTAGCTAGTAGATGACGGGCTAACACTTCATTCTTCGCCTTTATGTGCAAGTCTTGCAGAACCAGGATGGCGGCGTCGTACGAGACACAGTCGACTATGTATTCGTACACAGATGGGGAGACGAAGTTGCAGAGAGCGGCTAGCTTGTCGGGCTCGAGAGCAGAAATGGAGGTGAGGAACGTGTTGAAGGTCCGGAATCAGTGGCGCCACTCCTTTGAAGCGGTGGGAAAGTTTGGCGTAGCATCCAGACGTTCCGGCCTCAGGAACTTCTCCATTATGACTCATTTTCAGTTTTGAACAAAAAATTGTGGTGAAAGAAGACTAGAGTCGACCTTTTTCTAGGCTTTATTGTTCATATAACTGACCAAGGGTAGTATGACATCTGGAAGAGAACAAAGGAATATTTTAGTAAGTGAAGGGAACAATGAAAATTACTAATATAATATAACCCCAAACAAAACAAAACCCAATGATAAGAAACATATTATATGTACATACACACATAGCAAGATAGAAGGCATGGGTACAAGTGTACAAGTGTAGCATAACTTTATTGCAATGGTTAAGCACTATTACCTCCATGTTCTATCTCCCTCCATCCTCAGCGTCACTCTAGATGGAAACTGAACTGGGTATTACACGTCAGTACAATCATCAAATGTTACATCGTCTCCACATCCTCTGTCATCACAAGACCCGTAAACTTTCTGGGTTTGAGGTCATGAATACTTACGTAGAATTAATACAGTACTTCCTTAAACTCAACTACGTTTCCCCTGCTTAGTCTTCTCTCTTAACTGTTTACACAACAATGACTTCTACAGAAAGTAAAAAATCTGCAAGATTATTCTTCATCGTTCTTGCACTTCATATCATGAGGAACTCAGTACTTTGGCCCTCTCAACTCTCTCTGATCATCATTGTAACTTTACCTGTCACTTTGGGACAAAGCTGCTACACCATCTTCGCCACCGCTACCTGTGAATCCTCCTCTGTGAATCGTTATTCGACACCACAACTGAGCTGATCTCTACAAGAACAGCCTCATTCCAACCATTCCAATCATCAACGCTCTGTAGATTACTTATGTGTTCACTCCTGGCCTTTTCTCCTTTTATACTGTAATGGCTCTGAAATTCCTTGTTACGTGACCCTTTCCCCTTATATCTTATGTATACTTGTATGTCCAACCTATTGCTCCTGAATTATTATTATTATTATTAATATTATTATTATTATTATTATTATTATTATTATTATTATTATTATTATTATTATTATTATTATTATTATTATTATTATTATTATTATTATTATTATTATTATTATTATTATTATTATTATTATTATTTATCTCTCCCATTTCCCTCTCCTCTGTCTTTATGTCTATTAACTGTCATCTAATTTTCGGACTGTTTTTCTGTCTCTCTCAGATAGAGTACTTATGTTTAGTTGTTTGTTTGTCTCTTTCGCATATAGATTGTTTTTAACAAATCTCATTCTTTCTCTAAGGGATTCGTAATGTCTCATGTAACTTACTGTTCTGGTCTCTTCCTTCCTCTCTTTCTCCTGCATTTTCTTCTGTTCCTCCCTTTCCTTCTTCTTCCTACTCTCCATCCCCGTGTCGAGGGATCACCACGACAAAATTACCCTCAGTGGCTCTTTATGTCTGGAATTAATGTCGTCTGCGGGGAACTTACGTCGTCTCCTGCTACCGCTGAATCTTAAGAAATGCATTGTCAAGAGCTGGAAGTCCTGCAGATTTTTATTTTAATTTAGACATTCATCCAAAAGTTTGTACCATAGATAAAGTACCCGAGCGCGTTCATCTACCCAACAGTACATGAATTAACAGTGTTTAGCGCTGCTCTGCAAGACGTCGGACTACACTTATACACATCTTAAGTTGTAATACTTTTGGCCAAAAACTTATAAAAACTCCTGAGGTGAGGGTTATGTAAGAGATTTACAGTGTCATGGCGGACCCAGATTAGACCCATTCTTACGACGTAAAGATGTCAGTAGATGCATAGGTTAACCTGCTGTCTATATATATCTTGACTGTGGTAAGATGGAAAAAAAAACAAGAAAAAGGAGGATGGCATCACTCAAAAATAAATGTGGAGATTTCTTGTTTGTATTTTATTTTTTGCTGTTCATTTTAAAATCTTTTCTTGTATATTAGAATTAAAGTACAGATTGATTTTCAGATATATAGCATTGAATGTTATGCTCAGTTTAGAATATAAGAATGTAAGAATAGAGGGAAACTGCAACAGGTTGTTGGTCCATACTATGCAGCCCTGTTGACACCCAAACTTTATAACTTATAACTTATATATCTGACCAACCTATATGTCAAGCTTCCCAGCTACTTTGAGTTAATGATGGTTTTTGATAATTTGTTCCACTCATCTCACGAATAAATCTAAATGTGTCTAATATAAAACCATAACTACATGTTCACTACTGGTTTCATAATTTTAATA